GTGAGAACAGAGAGGGGCCACAGTTCAGGAAAAGCATAATGAAGACCTGGGCTAGATCAGAGAGCAGCAGAATTGAAAAAGAAAGGATAAGTTTTTTTTAATTGTGAAGGCAGAATCCCTGCGGATCAAATGTGAACTAAAGAAGAGAGAGAAACCAAGACAACCCTGCATTTTCTAATTTGGGTTACTGGAAAGACAATAATGCCACAGAGACAGGATACATAAAAAGATTAAACATTTGACATTCTTAAAAAGGAATGCGAGGTATAAATATCGAAGAAATTTATAATATTTTGTACTACATGATACAATATAGCACAGTGGTGAAGAGTGCAGGCTCAAGAACCAGACCACCTAGGTTTCAATGCCAGCCCAACCCCTTACTAGTTGTGTGATTTTGGATGAGTAACTTAACCTATCTGTGCCTCAGTTTCTTCATCAGTAAAATGGGGATAATAGTACTTCATGGAGTTGTGAAGCTTAATTGAGTTAATACATAAAAAGTACTCATAATCATCTCTGGTAAATGCCCAAAACATTGTAACTATAATTAATGTACATAAACTAACACAACTACCCCATGTGTGTTTTATAATGTTCACATTATAAACCAGTTAATTAAAATGCCAGCTTTTAAAATTTATTCTCTTTATTCTCAGAAAGATGAAGTATTTACACATCTCTTTTAAGTTCTCTTCCCGATGTTGGACCCTTGGACCAATAAAAACTGGACAAGTATACATTCGAAATGTGACTCCAAGAGATAAAAAGATTTTACTCTTTGACTTGCTGATCCTTTGATTTACTGGTTCTTCCCTTTGTAACTTTTGGCTAGAATGGACTCTGACTACTGCCCTTTTATTTGCCTTCATCTTCATTGCTCATGTTTGAGCAATACCTTGGAAGACAGGCACAAACTTCTCAAGACCTGTAAACTTTTTCTTCACTTCTATTAAATAAGAATTGCAAATATAGCTACCAGATTGTGAGCATCCACCAAATATCAGGCTTTTTACTTTTTTGTATTTTGAAACCCCCAAATTACCCATAAGGCATATAATATTATCTTGATATTACGTAACAGTAATAAAAAAGGAGCAGAAACTTACCCTTGGTATACTGGGTCCTGGGGATCTAAGATGGAACTGTTCTGCTGGCACATCTAGAACTTCTGGATTGGCTTATAAAAAGATATACCAGATATATCTGGAAAACAAAAACTGGTCTCCTGCCTCAGTTCCTAGACAGCCCTACAATCTTTCTCTTTGTGGTATGGCTCCCTAATCACCAGAGCCAAGAAGCAGCAAAGCTATGTATGAAGACCTGGGGGTTCTTCGAAGACATTTGCAGGGAAGACCACCATGCACTGAGTGTTGGTGCTGGGCCAAGTAGGAGGTCAGTTCAGTTTGCTTACATGAGCTTCTCCCCAGTTTTATACCAATGCATTTTGCAAATTTTCAGGGTAGGGAACTGATCAGGAAACTTATATATGGCTCAAGACATTTCAGCCAAGGCTGGCCAGTTAACTCAGTTGGTTAGAGCGCCACATTGTAACACCAAGGTCAAGGATTCAGATCCCTGTACTGGCCAGCTGTCAAAAATAAACAAACAAAAACAAAACAGTCCAAATAAAGACATTTCAGCCAACCAGATTGCCACTTGAGATTGAAGTGGTACTTGAAGCTTTCAAAGTGTTCTAAATCTAAACGAATAATTAATTCTTCCTCTCAGTCAGGAAAATAAAAGTAGGAGGAGATTAAAAATTAATAGAGGTGTTTCTTGAAGAAGAGGACTATTCCCTTTGCTCAATAGATAGTGCTCACTTGCCCTACATGCTGCAAACTATTGCCAGCAGGAAAGGAAGTCTCTAGGGTAGCTAAGCTAAATGTCTGAATAATATAATAACAGCAACGAAACAACAGTGTGCTCAATACTATACTGATGGCTTTACATACAATACACACTTAATTCTCACTGTGTCCCTGCATGGTAAATAATAATTTTCTTGTTTTACAGAGAGGGAAATTGAGGCATGCAGAACTTCAAGTTAAATCATTTTTCTGGGGTCACCCAGCTAGTCATTGATAAATCAGGGGTTTGAATCCAAATCCAACAGACTGGAAATCCAGACCTTTTCTGGTATATCATCCAGCTTCTACACAGTATAATGCACAGTTTTCACCACTTCCCATCCTGTGTGCCTCTGTGTTCTTCGTGGGCCCTGGATAAAAGTCTTGTTAGTCTTATTCTGCCTTCCTCCCAGTAAGTGATTCCCTTCATAGTCAGTTGGCTTTCCTTCTTACCTCTGAAGTAGTGTTCATTTACACAGCTCATTCATTTCTGCCCTTTTAATCTTCTTTACTAATAAATTTATTTCTCAGTTCCTGAAGAAGAAAATAAAATAGGCTTCTATTCATGGCAATCTTTGTGCATCAAGAGATTTTCACAACTTAGAGTATACCCTAATAAAACAGGGAGAGGAATTTAATGTCAAGAGCCAAGATCTCTTTTAGGATTTCCAGAATTATCCCAAAGTTTTATAATGTGTCTTGACTTCCAAAAAAGGACATCATGATGGTTTACGAGACTCCAATCTAGTCCAGGGGCAGATTCACTCTTTTAGAAGCAAAGGCACAAATGGAGGAGATAGAGGGAAAAATGAGGGAATGAAAGGAAGGAGGAAAAAATAGCACACGTGGCACATCTAGTTCATAAATAAGAGTGTTCAAAGCTCTTGTGAAATTAGAAGACTGGAAAGAAAACAATAATGTACCTGAAGAAATTAGACCTTATCCAAGATTCATTGAATCAGCAAAACAGACATTTTTGGGTGTGTATTACTACGTTCCAGGCACTGCTTGGAGAATATAGCAGCGCCCATGACAGCAAGGATCCTGCTTTCAAGAAGTTTATGGTGTGAAGGTGCTGTGGGTTGACTGTGTCCCCCTAAAGTTCATGTGTTGGAAACTTGATCCCCATTGTAACAGTGTTAAGAGATGGGAAATCCAATTATGGTATGTGAAAGATAGGGTCTGTATTAGTCCATTCTGTTGCTCATAACGAAATACCTGGAACTGGGTAATTTATAAAGAAACAAATTTTATTGCTTATGGTTCAGAGGCTGGGAAGTCCAAAGTCCAGGGAACACATCTGGTGAGGGTCTTTGGTCATGGCTTTACAGCAATGCAGGGGTTTCACATGGCAGAAGATGGTGGAGCAGAGAGACACTAACCTCTTGTGCTCTTCTTTTAAAGTCCTCAGAACCATGCCACTGACCATCATTATTAATCCATTCATGACAGCATGGTCCTACAATTTAATCACATCTTCAAAGCCCCGCCTTTCAATTGCCGTAATAGAATTTTCCACCCTCAAAAGGTACAGTGGAAATTGAGCTTCTAATAAATGAACTTAGGGGGACACAATTCAATCAATCCACAGCAGGGTCTTTAAGGGGTGATTGGATCATGAGGATTGTGCCCTCATGAATGGATTAATTCATTATGGAGTAATGGGTTAATGGGTTAATGGATTATCAAGGAATAGACTGGAGATTTTATAAGGAGAGCAAGTGGGCACATTAAAGAGCTCTTGCCATTCTCGCCATATGATACCCTGGTCACCACAGGACTCTGTAGAGTTCCCACTAGGAAGACCGCCCTCACCAGATCTGTTCCCTGAACCTTGGACTTCCCAGCCTCCAAAACTGTAAGAAATAAATTTCATTTCTCTATCAAGTACTCAGTTTCAGGTATTCTGTCATAAGCAACAGAAAACGGACTAATACAGAAGGAGAGCCAGATATTAAAAAAAAAAAAAGTAAAAAATAAGAAAATATCGGGGATATTTACTAAAAATAAAACAGTGACATGAGATAGAGATTGAGTAATATTACTTTATAATGGATGGTCAGGGAAGGCCTCTCTGCAGAGGTCATATTATTCAGGAGAGACCTGAATTTAGTGAGTGAGTATGTGTTCAGGGGAAAAAGCAGAAATAAGACATTCCAGGCAGACATAACATCAAGGGCAAAGGCCCTGAGGCTAGAACAAACTTAATATATTTGATGGAACAGCAAAAGGGCCCATGTAACTAAGCATTTTTAGCAAGAACATAAAGCGAGGACATCGAGGCAGGGAGGGGCCCTTGAAAGGACTTTGAATTTATGCAAAGAGCAGTGGAGCATGATATAATGTCTAACAATGATGAGGGTGTACATGGAACAAGACTAGCCACACACAAGTTGATAATTGTTTGAGCCAGTGGTGGACTCATAGTGGCTCATTATAAAAATTTCTACTTTTGTACATCTTTAAATTTTTCCACAAAAGACTGTTTAATATGATGAGAGGACATTAGAGGATTCTAAGCAATCGAGTGACATGTTCTGACTGACATTTTGTAAAAGAGCATGCGACTGCTATGTGGATAGAGGGACTAGACATGTCCCCTGCTGCTCTCATCAGGGCCTCCACACCCTAAGCCACACACCAAATCTGTTTAGCAGGTTATATGGAGCAGGGTCATTCATGGGGGTACCAAACCATGGTTCTTTTTTTTAAAAGTTGCCTGTGATTTAAAAGGATGAAGTGAATGTAATGTGGTGGGAAAAACAGCAAGCTAGCAATCATAAGAATTGGGAAATCTGGACAGTTTACTCAAACTCTCTGAGCCACAGTTTCCTTATTTGCTCAATGCAGCAAAAGAGCCAACCTGTCCTCACAGGAGGGTTGTAAGAATTAAAAGAGATTGCAGGAGAAAGGATTCTACACACCATGCAGGGTTGGGCAAATGTGATGCCCTGGATATACCCTAGACTAATTAAACCAAAATCACCAGGGGTGAAACCCAGTCCTTAGAATTTTATAAAATCCCTCAGGTGATTCCAGTAGGCAGTCAAGGTTGAGAATAAGTGGTTTAGAAGAAAATCTATTATGATGAACAGAAGAAAAAACACCCATGTGAAATTTATAACATTACTACTTCACATTTATTTTCAGGTGTTTCGTCATGGAGACCGAAGTCCCATTGAAACCTTTCCTAATGACCCCGTTAAGGAATCTTCATGGCCACAAGGATTTGGCCAACTCACCCAGGTCGGTTGGGTTTTCAGTTAAACGTTGTTGATGAGTCTCAAGGGGAAATGTGTACAGATTCATCTGTTTTGATATAGCATACAAGATGTACATGCACAACAGAATACATGAGCTTAGAAACCAAGAGGCACTTACAAGCCAGCCCCTGAGCTTCTCAGGCTCCACCTGAGAAAGTAAAAAATAGTCTTGTAGTCAATAAGCTGAACCAACAGAGCTGGGGAAACATGATTCTTCTGGGAGTGCTGATATCAGAATGTGAGTGCCTGTTGGCTGGATATATTGGGATTGTGCCTTCCTTACAAGTGGTCAGTTAAACACAGGGAGCCCTACTTCCTAAAGAGCATCTAAGGAGAAGGTGAACTAAGGAGCAACAGCATCGTTAGTCACTGTTCCAGGGCCCTGCGACACTTCGCTTGTCAGAGTGGATGGATCTTCTGTTTGTAGCCATAGGCCAGGCGCATTTTTTCTGGCCTGACAAAAGCACTGCTTAAATACATTAAGAAAACATCACAGAATGTTTACAGTTGGATGTCTCCAAAACTAATGAGCCTTAATTTTGCCTAAACATTGGAATTATCTGGAGAAGCTTAGAAAACATTGATGTATGCCTGGGAAGTTCTTATTTAGTTGGCCTAGGGTGTGACCTGGGCATTGGGATTGTCAAAAGCACCTCAGTTATCAGTTCACTCTAATGTGCAGCCAAGGCTGGGAATTACTGTCTTTACTCAACTGCTACGTTTCATAGAGGAGAAAATTCAGAGATGCTATTTGAGGCCAGCATAGTTCCCAGGTCAGAGCTCTCCCCATCATAGCCTACCCATCTTCTGGCTCTTTGAATGAGAAAAGGATTACGCAAATTAATACCTACGGCTCTGTAGAGTCTCCTATTCCCTTACTGTGCTTTTCCAGTAAGACCAAAAGATTCTTCCAGTCTGTGGGATCTATGTTCTTCTTCTGGGAATCTCTTGACTAGGCATCAGATTCTCCTAGAGCAGTGCTTCTCAAGCTTCCATGTGCAAATGAATCACTTAGGGATCTTGTTAAAATGTAGATTCTTATTCAGCAGGTTTGATGTGAGACATGAGATTCTGCATGTCTAACATATTCCCAGGTGATGACAACGGTACTGGTAATGGACCACTCTTGAAGTAACAGGGCTCTAAAGTTCAAATTCCTGCCCTTGGCAAAGTGCTTCTACATAATGATGAGGTGATAGCACTCTAGACCAGTGGTTCTCAAAGTGTGGTTCCTGGACAAGCAGCATCATCATCACCTGGGAACTTGTCAGTAATGTGAATTCTCGGGCACCACCCTATACCAATGAACCAGAAACTCTGGCATTAAATCCCAGTAATCTGTGTTTTAGTGAGCCTTCTAGTTGTTTCTATGAACCGTAAAGTTTGCAGATTACTGCTCTGTAGAGAAGATAACTGTTTCCTCAAAAGTGGATTGTAAATTAGAACACAATTAGACCCAAAATACCTGATTTTTCAGCTACCCAGGCCATGGTATGTTGCTCCCTTCTCACTTTCATCCCCATCCTGGATGGGAGTTGATGATAATGATGGCCAAGAGTGACAAGCAAATGAGCAAGCAGAACCAAGCAGCAGCCACAGTGACCACATTTTGGGCTGGCCAGTTGGCTCGTTGATTGGAGCACAGCCTTGTAACACCAAGGGCAAGGGTTTGGATCCCCATACCAGCCAGCCACCAAAACACACAGTGACCACATTTTCTCTGACTCCTGAAGCTCTGGCAAGGCTCTGAATTACAAACTTGAATGCGGCATTTCTCAATGCATGGTGCTTTGCTACCTGCATCTGAATCACTTGGGGTACTTGTTAAAAATGCAGATTCCAGAGCTCCTCTCACAACTTAATAAGCTGGAGTCTCTGGGGGAAAGTCTGAAGAATCTGCACCTTAGTCTTAGGAGAGATTAAGGCCGACTGGTTTTGGAGACATTTCAACGAGCACCGCTAGATAGTTTTATTTGTCATGTACAGTAAAGCTTGAGGAGCACTGAGTTAATGCAATGCATCTCAATGATTACTGTCCATCAGGAGCTCTTGGAGAGCTTGTTAAAAATAGATTCCTGAGCTCCATCCCCAAAGATTCTGGATCAGTAGGTCAAGAGTGGAGCCCAAGGATTTGATTTCTAGCATGCTCTCAAGTGATGCCAATACTGCTAATCCACAGACCATACTTTGACACTCAGCGGTTGAAAGGGACCTTCAAATTCATCAAGTCCAACCTCATCAGATGATTAAATTTTTCCACAAAATCCTCACCAAGTGGTCAACCAGTCCCTTTGAATTATCCACCAACAAGGATCCCACTACCACACCAAACATGAACCATTTACTTAAATCAGATTAATCACCAGCTGTCAACCAAGTACTTACTATGTGCAAGTCTCTGTGTTAAGTTCTAATGAAGATGAATGAGTTTTCTCAGGGAGTAAGGGAGTCATAGCTAACAATTACAGTTCTCTTTCCTTGTTTTGATTTAAATACCTGTTATTGGGGAACTATTAAAGCACACCAGTGTTCACTCTACATATATAATGAGAAGAGATGAGACAAATATCTATGATAATGTGATTCATAGAACTTATTTTTACTAATTTTTGCTTTTATTTTTTTCCCACAGCTGGGCATGGAGCAGCATTATGAACTTGGAAAGTACATAAGGAAAAGATATGGAAGATTCTTGAACGAGTCCTATAAACATGACCAGGCAAGTTGGGGAGCCAAAAGCGGGAAAATCGACCCTTAAAAGAATTAAAATAATTCTACATATGTAAAAGTGCTCTGCCTGTTTTCCAAGGAACTTATACAAGAAGACTTCAAAAAGTCTGTGAAAATTAAGTTGAAAGATAAAAATAAAAAATATAAACTTTATTTCTCACAAGCTCCATCAAGTTCAAGACACTTTTGTAAGTGATGATACCATCTGTAAAGAATGGAGGGTCCTGGAAATTTAACCATGTCAATGAAGTCTCTTTTACATTATTATTAAGTGAAAAGAAAATGGGTGCTGTATAACGATTTTTTAAGGTTAGGAAACAGAAGTCAGAAGGAGCCAAATCAGGACTGTAAGGTGGGTGCCTAATAATTTCCCATCAAAACTCTTGCAAAATTGACCTTGTTTAATGAGAGGAATGAGCAGGAGCATTTGTCATGATGAAGAAGGACCCTTTGGTGAAGATGTCCCAGGTGTTTTCTGCCAAAGCTGTGACTAACTTTTTCAAAACACTCTCATAGGAAACAGACATTATCATTCTTTGGCCCTCCAGAAAGTCAACAAGCAAAATGCCTTGAGCATCCCCATAAACTGTTGCCATGATCTTTGCTCTTGACCTGCGTGCTTTTGCTTTGACCAGACCACTTCCACTCTTGGTGTCCATGGCTTTGATTGTGCTTTGTCTTCAGGGTTGCACTTCAAGATGAAGCCATGTTTCATCTCCTGTTACAAATCTTCGAAGAAATGCTTCAGGATCTTGATCTCACTTGTTTAAAATTTCCACTGAAAGCTCTGCTCTTATCTGCAGTTGATCTGGGCACAACAGTTTTGGCACCCATCAAGTGGAAAGTTTGCTCAACTGTAATTTTCAGTCAGAACTATGTAAGCTGAACCAGTTGAGATGTCTATGGTATTGGCTGTTGTTTCTGCTGTTAATTGTTGGTCCTCTTCAATTAGGGCATAAACAAGATTAATCTTTCCCTGCAATTTGATGTGGGTATTCTGCTGTTGCAGGCTCATCTTCAGCATCATCTTGTCTGTTCTTAAAATGGGTTATCCATTTGTAAACTGCTGATTTCTCTGAAGCACTGTCCCCATAAACTTTTGGTAAAGGATTGATGATTTCACTATTCTTCCACTCAAGCTTCACCATAAATTTGGTGTTTGTTCTTGCTTCAATTTTAGCAGAATTCATGGTGCTCTGATAGGAGCTCTTTTCAAACTGATGTTTTATTCTTCTTAGAGCCTCAAACTAGATCTTGCTGAGACACGTTATAACAAATTAGTATAAGTTTATTTTGATGCAAAAAAGTTTTGCAGTCTATGCATAGTTTTTTCGTAGTACACATTTTGTATGAAGTTTTTAAAGACCTCTGGTACAAGTCAAAGATCTTGTTTACCAATGTACCCTTCTTTATGCAATTATTTTATTCCTAAAAATTTGTGTATACGAGTAAGGTCAAGATTTTATGGACACCTGTGTAAATATTTTGGCTTGGCAAGTGGCCATTGCTTAATTGGTCTCATCTGTCAATTTAACTATAAGCCTACCAGGTTACTTTGTATCGTGGTATTCTCATAATGTTGCTTGTTCAATAACAGATATTATGACTATGCTGTTACCACAGTATCTGCTAATATTCTAGTGTGGGTGTCCTGCTCTTTCTCTAATACCCTGTCAGCTGCACAGTAAAAAAAGAAAAAAAAAAAATCCTCACGTTTCCTCTCTGTTGGTTTCTGCTTTGATTTTCCTATTCTAGGTTTATATTAGAAGCACAGATGTTGACCGGACCTTAATGAGTGCTATGACACAGCTTGCAGCCCTGTTTCCCCCAGAGGGCACCAGCATCTGGAATCCCAGCCTACTCTGGCAGCCCATCCCAGTGCACACAGTCCCTCTTTCTGAAGATCAGGTCAGTATACTGCAAAAACTGGGAGATTCCATATGGACCTGGAAGGAGGAAGAAAGCTGCTCAGTACTTGTGGATTTGGGAGTCTGGACACTCCTGGGGCTGTAGTCTTAACTGATTCTTAAATAAAGGTGCAAAGGACAATGTAGGACATAAAAAGCACTAGGCAAGGGAGAGGAGGAACTGAATTTCTTTTTGGATCTTTATCATCCCTTTGTTTTGCCACTCTTTCAACTTTTGGCAGTTTACCCCTCTCCATCTTTACACACACACGTACCCATCTCCCAGGGCTCTGTCTTCAATTTCCAGGCTTTTGGCGACCCACGGTTTTCTCCTCTTCCCAGAATATCCAAAGATCTCTGTACCTACTAAATACTTCTTCCCCCACGAAAATTCACATTCTTGGGTAGAGAGAAAAAGAAAGATTGGAGGATGTAATTGGTGTCCAGCACTTTATATGTGTCATCGTATTTACCTTTCTTAACAACCTTGACTGGACAATATTACTGTTCTTTCATAGCAAGGGTAATAAGTGCTCAGAGAGATTAAATAACAAACAAAATTGGTCCAAAGCCACACAGCTTGTAAGCATCACCTCTGGGATTAAAACTAGGTCTATCTCATTTCAGAACAATTTTCTTCCCTGTAAAATAGTGGGTCTCAAACTCAGCAACATATTAGAATCACCTGGGGAGTTTTAAAAAATCCTGCTGCCCAGGGCACTCCCCACAATGAATCAGAATCTCTGAGGGTGGGACCCAGGGATCAGTACTTTTAAAATAATCTCCCTAGATGTTTCCAGTAGGCAGTGGAGTTTGAGAACCAGTACCATAAACCAAGCTGCCTGAATGGTGCTACTTGAGAGAAACTCTCAAATCTATTTACACAGGGTGGGACTAACCAGGAACTCTTTAACCTTTTCAGAGGAATTGGTATTTTAAAAGTAGTAATAAATCTAACTAATCTTCCAGGTGTGGAACTTAAGTCTATATGAAGGAAATAATTTGGGACAAGGAATCCTTTCCTAATTTCCCTGCAGTCACATCACAGACATCTCATCTCTATATGTCTGAAGCTTCACACGATGGCTGGACCCAGATTTTTGCCCAGTGACCTCTGGGGTGGGTTATTCTTTTTGCCCAGCCAGCACTCCTAGAATTATGACTTAATTGCTACATTTAGTGACTTAAGAATTTTTCCCAAATGCTTTTTAGAAACAGCCCTACCCTATCAACATCATTCGAGGTAAATCTACTTTGACCACTTTTCTGATGTTTCCTGAAAAGACAGGATGATTTATGTATATCTCTTTCCTTCACAGAATCAGGAGTGAAGTATTATGATTATCAGTGCTCTTAAGAGTTTGTGAATATTTTCTTCCAATAAGAAAAGAAAATTACTTTTACCATAGTCTCTTCTGCAGAGATAAAGACTGGATAGCAGCACCAAATTTGGCCAGTGTGGATCAAGGCAGCTATTTAACCCTTAATCCTGAATGACAGTAATTAACTTACACAGTGAGAATACAAGTGCTATTAGAAGAGGAAGGGAGAAACAAGGAGAGGGAGAAAGAAGCAAGCAAGATTATCTACCTATGGCTTCCAGGTACATATTCACTAAGGTGAAAAAAATTCTCTTTGATATTAATTCAGAAATCTAACAAAATCACCAAAGCCAGGTTATTCCCAGAGCTGTGCTCAATGCTGTAGAGAAATATGAGGCTGAGTTCCTTCCCTAATCTATAATCTGTTTGATGAAAGAAGATTAGCATGTGAAACTTGGAAAACACAATATAAGACAACGGGCGATGATTTAAAGGATGAGCTGTACATGCTAGAGGAATTCAGAGAATGAGACATACATGGAGCTGCCACAGAGCAGACGTTCAAGGCTTCATGGAGAAGGAAAGAATGTGAACTGGACCTCAGAGACGGGAAAGGAAAAGAGAGGAAGGCTGCACCAAATCATGGACCATGGCTGTGACTGAATGTACACAGGGCTTGTCCTTCTGTGCCCAGAGTTCCTACTTACAAACTTTGAAAGTAAGATAGAATAACTATGTTGTGCACAGATTAGAGACTCCATCTTTAATAGCCAGAAGGGAACTTGAGCTGAAAGAAAGGCAGTGTGATGTCAGAAGGGCTGGATTTGCAGTTGGAAAACCTGGATCTGAGAGCCAACTACCACTTCAGATATGTCACCTTGAGTAACCTCTCTACAACTCAGAGTCCTTTTCTGTAAAATGGAACAACAGTATCCACCTAACTTCTTCTTAGGGATTTGTGAAAGTCAAGTTCATAAGGAAATGGAACAGACACTGTAAACTGCAAAATTCTGGACAGATGTTTATTTTCTGCCTGATTCAAATTATGGATGGGAAAGCTAAAATCTAGGAAGGTTAAGTAATTAATTAAAACCTAGACCTTTTAATGAAGTCCTGTGCTTTTCCCCCAATAATATCATTTCTCCTATTAAAAAATTTTGAAAACAATGCAGGAAAATTTAAACTTAAAGCAGTGGACATAAATGGAATCTGGATACATTCCTCAGTATTACACACATGTAATGAGTGATGCTTTGAGACATTTGCCTGGCAGTGGCTTGGAAGGAAAGGACACTGGAGCCTCAGAGAATAACTGTTGAAGCAATTCAGGAATGAGAAAATGAAGGCCTGAAGTTAGGTGGTAAGAGATATTAGAGGAAGAAAAGCAAGACAAAATAGGTGACACACAGAATCAAAAATGACAGACAGGAAGCAACTTGTAAATGTTTTCTAAGTAGCAACTAATATGCCAAGCCCTGTTCTAGGCATTGACAACACAGCAGTGAACAAGACAGACAAGATCCTGGCTCTCACTGAATTTATATTTTATAGGAAATACATAGATGATAAAGAAGTAAATAAATTAAATAATTTCAGATGGTGATGACTTTCTTGAAGGTAATAAAATTAGTTCGTATGGTAGCAGCTGGGGCAGGATGGCTAGAAAAGCAGGGGAGGGGTCAGTGGGGGGAGTGTTCCAGGTAGGGAACAGTTCGTGCAGAGGCCCTAAACCTGTGTGTTCCAGGGACAGCAAGAAGGCCCGCAGTGCTGCCAGAGAGGCATGAGGGAAAGGGACAGTCACAGGAAAGGAGGGCAGACCCCAGCTCATGTAGACTCTTGAGAGCCATGGTAGTGAGTCTGGATTTTATTCCAGGTAAAATGGAAACCAATGAAGGTTATGAACCACAAAATGACATGATCTGACTGATGCTTTAAAAAGCTTAGTGTTTATAAAATCAAAATAAAAAGAATTAGTGTAACTGCTGTGTGGAAGATGATTTGTGAAGGCATGAAGCAGGGATGCCAGTTGTCCAAAGAGGAAGCTCTCGCAGTAGTTGAAACACAGATTATTGTAGCTTGGGTAAAGAAAGGGGGTCTGTTTTGGATATATTTTAAAATTAGACAAAAAAAGTGATTAGTCTATGAAGCCGGTTGATAAATTTTGCTGCTGGAAAAAGTAGAGAATACAGAGAGGACATGGTTAGAAATGAAGAAGTTGAGTTCAGCTTTGTACATGATAAATTTGAGAGAGAAGAGAAACATCCAAACAGTGATATCTGCCAAGGACTAGCCACAGATGGAAAGAAAGAGCAGCAAGATGGACTTAGGAGTCATCAACCTGTAGGTTATAGTTAAAACTACAAAGAGTGTCAAATCTAGACTCATTTGGGGATGTTCACTTTGTCCTCTTTTAATAGGTTTTTAAATATATTTTTCTATATATTTAATATTTACCCTTATTTTAACAGTCTGCAAATTTGCAAGAACTAAAGTCAATGAATGGTTAATTGATCTCTTAAGATTCTTTCTAGAACCTCTAAATCATTTCTCCACACGTGTGTGTGTACACGCATGCGTATGTGATCACAGATTTGCAGCTACTGCTAGAAATAAAAGGGGTTGGGAGGAAGCAATATAAGTTATCATTCACATGGAAAAACAGGAAGTGTGAATATCTACCAACAGCACAGTCCTATTTAGGCAAGTTCGTTAAAGAAGAAAAAAAAAAAAAAGGTTTTCAGTTCTGGGTACATATCCTTCTGTTTCGAGACCTGCAGACCATTTGTCTCTTTTCCCCCAATTTTAGAATTTCAGTTCAGCTCAAAACACATTTGAATCTTTTATTAAGGTCTCCTTGGACATAATAAGGTTTAAAATATTGTTGCAACTTCTTTAGCAAAGTTCTTCTGGTTAACAAAGGCTTTATGATTCTTCTCTTGTCCTCAGTTGCTATACCTGCCTTTCAGAAACTGCCCTCGTTTTCACGAACTTGAGAGGGAGACTTTGGAATCAGAGGAATTCCAGAAGAGGCTGCATCCTTATAAGGTGAGAAAGTTGTATTATGCAGTGGTTATGTGAGTGTGAGAGCCAAGGTAAAGGATGAAGCTCTGGCTTCTTAGAAGTGTGGGGTGAGTGAGTCTGCGGGTGGCTGGTTGTAGCAATGGGTTAGAATATTTAAGGAGGGAAGTCATCACTACTTGATCCCCTTCCCTGTGTGGGGGCCACAAACCCATGGAGAAGCCAGTCCCTTTTGAATCTGGTACCCATGTCCCCGAGAGTGGCTGGGTGAGATTAAATGCAAGTCTCAAATCCCGCGCTTTACAGACGCTGAGGGGGGCTGGGTCTATTGTTTTCCCATACAAGGAATAGTCATTTTTGTTTCTGTTTCCACTTTGCAAAGTACCCTTTTTGGGGACTATACACAAGCTAAATATAAAGCTTTGTGTTATTAAAAATAATCTTTTGAGTCAGTAATACATTCATATAGTCCAAAAATCAGAAAAAATGTGAAAGGATACAGTGAAAAGTCTCTGCATGACCCCACGGGTAACCTCTGGCATTATTTCCTTATGTGATCTTCCAGTTTCTTTATGCATATACAACAAATACAAATATACAGTATTATGATAGTTTCCCCTTTTGTTACACAAAAATGGTATATTATTGACAGGGTTGGGCACCTCCGGAGGTTTTTTGTTTTGTTTTCTTTGTTTTCACGCAAGAAAATATCTTTATCAATTATTTCTTTAGCTCTTTAACAATTATTTTTATTTATTTTATGGAAATCTGTTGGGGTTAATATTGGCAAATTATAACTTCCTAGACAATTTATTCATCAGATAAGCAATATCTTCTAAAAGACTTCCCAGAAATTGCTGCCAATTTCAGCAGTCAGATAGCTGAACTTTGGGTTTCATTATCATGACAATACAAGAATAATACAGAGCCTAGCGAAATGTTTGCTTTCCATTGAGATTTCACATTTATAGCCAGAGACTAGGTTCTGTTTCTGCTGTGTTTTTCTGGGATGTTTTGGCCTTAGATATGCTTTCCCCTGTCACTCAGACGCTCATTTACATGTGAGATATACTTCACCTACTTCTAAAAAGATCTTGAGGAAGTGAGCTTCAATTCCAGCACAAACCGAGAATATGTGGCAGGAAGTCAGCATTTATCTGCATTTTTAATGTCATAATGAGAAATGATCAATTAGTGCATGTAAAATTCTTTGGGCCAGCATTATCATAGCCAATATTTCTGGTGCACTCTTCTGTGAAGAACAGCCATTCTCAACAGGGGCGTATTTGCCTCACAGGGAACATTTGGCATTGTCTGGCGGCCTCATAACTGGGAGGTTAGGAGTGCTGCTGGCATCTACTGGGTAGAGGCCAAGTTGCTGCTCACAACCCTGCAGTGCAGAGGGCAGCCTCCATGACAAAGAATTATCCAGCCCAAAATATCAATAGTGCTGAAATGGAGAAACCCTGATGCAGAAATATTTTTTTCTCTCTGTGTTTCAGGATTTTGTAGAATCCTTGCCAAAACTTTCAGGATTCCATGGCCAGGACCTGTTTGGAATTTGGAGTAAAGTCTATGATCCTTTATATTGTGAGGTAAAAAAAAGAAAATTATTAAAGATTAATATGCAATCTGATGTTATGATTTATGCCTATTTTCAAACAGATGAATACATTTTCTATCACTTTTTAACAGATATATTACTTATATTTCCTTTAACATTGAAACGTAATTCAAGACTTTCTTATATTGACTTGAAAATCCTGACTTCTCTTTTATCTCCATTATTTATGTTTTCACTCTGTAGAAAATTGTAAGCAAAATTGCTTTTCTTCTATATGTTGCCACTTATTTATTTTGCAGTCACTCAGGAATGCTGGGCTCCTATCATAAGTTTTAATGAAAAACGCAATGTTGTTATACAGAAAGAAGAAAAAAATTGCCTGATTTCTGGATATAGAAATAAGCAAGCCAGCTGTAAGCCAAACTGTGGAAATTGGCTTATCAGGAAAGAACCTCTTTCTTGCTGTGTGATGCATTTGAAATAACCTTTGTAGCTAGATAAATTAGGATTGTGTTTTTCAAGGGTACATGATGCTTTTCACTCCTCAAGCTTCACCTTCTGGCCAAAAGGAGAGCTGTGCTCTCCATTCCTGGATTTCCCAAGCAGTTCAGTAAATTCCAAGGCAGAATTCTGGCTGCCCACCTGGCTCATATCTGCTTCCGATGTTGAAATCATCGTGAATGTCTAGGGGCAGCAATTACTTTCATGGCCCCATCTCAATAACAGATGACAAAGCTTGCCCCCCTCCATGACAAAGTTAATTGACTCAACCACATGCAACTTTCTCAATATTTTCACTTTATCATCAGCATCTGATGAAAAAGACTGATGATAAATCTTTTCAACAAAAATTTGTTAGCCTTATGAAAGTCTCTTCAATGGAGACAAGAGCCCACATTTAATGCCAGTCTTGATTTTCTTTTTTCTTTCTTATTACAGTTTGATCTAAGCTTTTCCATAATGTGGCCATGTTATGTGGTATCTTTTCCACATCCTTCTTGCTTATTTACTCTGTAGGTCACTTTGTTTTGGTCTACTCTTTCATGACATGAATTCTCTCTCTCTCTCTCTCTCTCTCTCTCTCTCTCTCTCTCTCTCTCTCTCTCTCTCCCTGGGGGAATCCTAATCAACTCCAGTGGGTAATAAATATTGGCACAAGTTTTCTACCTGCCCTGCTTGCAGCTGGTTCATCCATTTAACAAATATTTACCAAGTACCTACTGTGTGCAAGGTGCAGACTTTCCCCAAGAGTCAGTGAATTATTGAAGGCTCCAGAATTTATTGCCTTTCCTGACTGGCCTCTTGGGCACCTCATTCAACTTCTAAGGAGACATCATCTAACTCTGTCAGCTTTTACCCTCCCCCCAGGTTCACAGAAAGATTTCTAAACCTTTCATGAAGGAATGAGGTACATCCCTGCCCTACTGTACCCTTATCTGTAAAATACAAATCATCCATTCACCCAGAGTTAAGCCAAAACTTGATGGAAAGGGTCAAATTAGTTTCTGTAAATTTTTCTTCTGAAAATCAATACCACTGCTTATCACAGTGTGAAGTTTTCTTAGAAGGAAATGGCAGGACCAGAAAGGCTGTCCCCAGTAGTTCTTGTGAGGTGAAAGAGGACAAAAGAATCAACAAAGAAGACAATCATAAATAAAAATACACACACATTTTCTTCCTTTTTCTTTGCTGCAGGGTATTCACAATTTCACTTTACCCTCCTGGGCCACCGAAGACATCATAACTAAATTGAGAGAATTATCAGAATTATCCCTCTTGTCCCTCTATGGAATTCACAAGCAGAAAGAGAAATCTAGACTCCAAGGGGGTAAGTATCTTTTACAAATGAGAGGAGCATATTGGATTTGTGGTTGGATGATCTGGGTCTGAGTCCCAGTCCTACCACTAATTTGCTGTGTGACCTCAGACAGGTCACTTAATCACTCTTGTATCAGTTTCCATTCTGCACACTGGGGATAATAATGATGCCTACCTCATAGATAGTGAGCATTAAAATGAGTGTATGTGTTCAGAAGGCTTAGAACAAACAGTACTTGGTACATAACACCCTGTCAATAAACATCATGTGTGACTACAGTCATCAACATTACCCACTCTGGGCCTTAGTTTTCCCATGTGGAAAACAAAGGCTGTAGACTAAAGCTAAATGATCCTTTCCATCCGTTCCAGATCAAAGAATCAAGGATTTGTGTCTGAGCCCCATGAAAATCAACTGTGTCTGGTGTCCTACAGGATAAATTTTTCAATTAGGATGTATAACAAAAATGGCCCATTTTCCTGAAACCCTGGGTGGTGACCATTTTTAAAGTTGATAAAACATTTTGCAGACTAATTACGCAATATAGGTCGCAATTCACAAGTTTATGACACAGCTTGAATTCTCCCATTGGTGTTGAAGGGTGTTGAGATTTATTTCTTAGTCCCTTCTCAGTTAGTATTGGCCCTTCATAGCATAGGACACTCTGCCATGTGAAAGTAGACCCAGGTAGAAGGATGCTGGATCCTTGTAATCAGGATAGGTGGGTGGAAGAAAGAAGCCAGGCAGGGCAGGGACAGATGCTGGGGCCCGTGAGGGCAGCTGGGTGGGCACACAAAGACGTCAAATGGGGTACCAGGCTCAGATGTGGTTAATTTAGGTGTTAAAACTAAGGATGAAGACCAGAATGTCAATTATGTCAGGTTGATATGACAAAGAAAGTCCAAGCCACAGGAGATGTTCCAAGTCAGGTTGACACATATATTTTAGACACTTTGAGAAGAATCGTACAATCACATCAGGATTCCAGTCATCGCCAGACCCTATCGCCACAGAATGAGGACAAGTCCATCAGAACCCTAAGAGTATGCATAAAGACAAAGCATACTGGGGCTGGACCAGACTGTAAGGATGTTCGCTCAGGGCTGCATAACTAGAGAAAGAACTCACATCAGTGACCAGACAAGGAGCCAATGAAAGCTAAAAAAAAAAAAAGGGGGGCTGTACGTCAGGTATAAAGAGTCAGTCGAGCTGTAAGCAGGAGAACAGCTAATGAGGTATGAAACCAGGATGGTCAGCAGCAAATTCATGTGAGATGAACAAATTAGGTTGAGACAAATAATTTACGACAGTGGCCATTAATGACCTGAAGATGTTGCAGACCTGCTATTACAGAAGTCCTGATTGCATGGCACGGAGGCAGACCTGATAGAAATGTTCAACTCCTTAGTCCACATTAAGGGCATGAGCAGAAAGGCCCAGCCCTTGAGGAAGGGAGAGTACCCAGAGAGGTGTCTTAGAGGGAACCTGGTATGTTGGAAAAAATTACCAGGCAGGGTACAGGGCAGAACCCAGGAAGCAACTCAGTCTCATGTGCTTAACAACAAAACATGCAGAGGGTGCCTTGTTGGCCACATAAGCACCAGGCCTCATTTCTGGCCCACCAGGTGCCAGCAGTATGACCCAGTCCCAAGCCTCATCAAATGGTAGAGGTGGAACTCTTGATTTATTTCCCCCAACTTAGTTATGGTGGATTCAGGAATCCAGCCCCTCACTACTCAAAGTGCAATCCATTGTCCAGCAAGGTTGGCATCACCTAGCAGCTGACTGGAAATGCAGAATCCCAGGTCCCACCTGAGACCAGTTGAATCAGAATCTGCATTTTAATAAAATACCAACAGGCATCATACCAGACAGGAGTTGACAGTAGTCTGATAACAGATCCGGGGATCTGTATATAAGAATAAGAAATGGGGTTTATCCTAGCAGCTTGCTCATATTTTCTCTTTATTTTCCTTCTTGGCTACTAGAAGATTACACTTGGGGGAAGCCACTTCCCCTCTCTGGGTCTGTTTCCCCATCTGATGAGGGTATTAAACTAGATTCTGTCTGTAAGAGTCCTTCCCTGAGATATTCTCCAGTCTTGGATTCTAAAGGCTGGCATTCATGTGAACCCAACTGTTCCACTTTCTGGAGGAAGTCCAGTGCCATTGATAAGCCAGGAAATTGTTTCCTGCATGGTTCTGCCAAAACACAAGCTCAACCTATTGTTGAGATCTGGCTAGACAAAAGAGATTTGTCAACTACATGGTTGTTGAATGATGAAGCGGCTGAACACAATCCTGTACAGAAAACATTCATTGTCTGGGTGACATAGAGTAAAGCAGGAACATCGAGACTGTGACCAGCATCTTCTTACCTTTGCCAGAACTTTCATTACATCAGTTAGTTTCAAGGGTGACACTATTCAATAAGATACACATACAATTACACATACACACACAGAAAAATGCTTAAGGCTAATTTAGGAACATGTGGCTGATCGTATCAGTTAATGGAGATCGCTTCTTGCTCTAGACCAAGGGTGGACAAACTGTAAGCCAAATCCAGCCCACAATCAGTTTTCATAAATCAGGTTTTATTCAGACACAGACGCACCCATTCATTTGTGCATCGTCTGTGGCTGCTTTCATGCTACTATTAGAGTCAAGTAGTTGCAAAAGATCTTACAGCCCACAAAGCCTAAAACATTAATTATCTGGCCATTTACAGAAAAAGTTTGCCAACCTCTGCTGTAGCCCAGGAGTGAAAGAACTGAAGTTTATGTCTTCATATCACTGGTATTTTGTCTAGTTTATGCAGATTTGATTAAAAAATGCAACAGGGAAGTCAATTGTAGCTAGAAAAGCCGAGCACTTGGGTAGCTTAGAAGTTAGCTTTATGCTATACTGAGTCTAATGAACATGAATAAAGGTTTTGAAGTCAAACATGCTGGGTTCAAAGCCAGCTTCTCCACTTAAGATTTGTATAATCTTAGGCAAGTTGCCGAGCCTCTCTGAGCCTCAATTTTCCTTCCTATAAAACAGAATATTAACATGCCAGAGCCTGGGGATAATTGTGATAGTCACCCCTAGTTACTCTGGGACAAGGAGATAATCACTCCAAACCGAAGAACTGATATGTATAAATCACGCTCCCTAGCACACAGCAAATGCTCAACCAAAATTAGGTCTTCATCTCCCTTCTTAGATTATGGCGGGGAGAGTCCCCAACTATGAATGGACAAAAAGCTCATAAACTAAAATTAAAGCCTATGTTTTGTTCAGCTCCGTGTTGATCTATCTCTTTTCAGGTGTCCTGGTCAATGAAATCCTCAATCACATGAAGAGTGCAACTCAGTCACCAAGCTACAGAAAACTTATCATGTATTCTGCTGTAAGTACTTTTGTCTTTATTCAACATCCATTTGTTAGAGTGTGTGATCTCTTGGAGAATAGAGCCTCATATTTTTTTTTTTGTTGTTTTCATTTCCCTGTCACTCGAGAGATGGTAGGCACCTGCACAAAGCTTTTAGAATGAAACACATCACTCTATTCTAGCCGTTGAGGAAGTTACAGTACTGACAAGAAGACAAATAAATGTATAAACACGATACAAAGCAGTATGGAAATGCCATGTGAGCACGTGCTTTGATGCCTCAACAAAGGTAGCCATCCCTTCTGTGCCAGGACAGTAGAGGACAGAAGCAGGAGGCCTTCCTGGACGAGGCAGCACATTAATCGCATCATGATGGAAGGGGTTCCTCACCAGTGTGTAGAGCATGTGAAGGGAATTATTAGGACAGAGGTGGAAGGCCAGGAACATTGTATGGAGAAGTTGGTACCAAATTAGTAGATACTAACTGTGCTGCCCAATATGGAACCTAGTAGCCACATGTAGCTATTTAATTTCAAATTCATTATAATTAAATAGAATGAAAAATTAAGTGCCTCAGTTGTGCTAGCCACATTTCAAGTGCCCAGTAGCCACATGTAGCCAGTGGCTACTGAATTGGACAGTACAGATCTAGAACATTTCCATCCTCACCGGAAGTTTTATTAGACAGCCCTGATATAGAGTCTCAGAATGTTTGCGCTGAAAGGCAGCATAAAGGCCATCTCGCCCTGCATGCTTCTTTGATTAATGTATGAGAGAAGCAGTGGAGCAAGAGGGAACCCCCTGAAGGGGTCACCCCCAGAAGATGTCTGCTCAGGGGGGTAGGGCAGGGTGACAGGATAAGAGCAGTATTTCAGAAATTAATCCTCTTATAGAATGACTGGAAGTTGGGAGCAGAAGATAATGTAGAAAAATGGGGATGAGGCTTAAAACGAGGGCAGGAACAGGAGGGGAAGAGAGGTTAGCTGGGTTACAGGGAAGGCTGAGTGTCCATGTCTCAGTGTGCATTGGAATGTGGGGGGAGGACAACGATGTGGAAGGTGGAGTCACAGATGAAGGCGAGCGTGCAAGTCTCAATGACAGAAGGAGGATGAGACCATTAATAACATGTTCTTGGGCCAGGTGACTATACTGGTTTGACAATGGATTTGAATTGCCACAGGGGCATCCCAGCAGGAAACTTCAGATGGTAAAGGGGATAGAAGAGGGAAAGCAAAAGAGAACTGAAACTTGAAGTTCTAGCTCCATTTGGGGGTAGAATGAAAAAAGAGAGAGATCTTGCAGAAGACTTGCATCTTAGAGCTGGAGCCAAGGAAAGAGACACTGGTGCAGAAGAATTCTAGGGATGTCTCATGCATCAGAATAGCTGCCCATAGAGGCTGGGATGAGCGGGGAAGCAGGCATGGTATGCTGACTCTCCCACTCACTGTCTCCATGACAAAGGATTTCTCAGCTGTGGTTTGGCTGGAGGAAGCCATGTTTTCATTCATGCAAGAAGGTGAAAGAGGTGATTGAAGATACAGGAAAGTTTGTTTCTTGTCAGGGGCTCTAAATGGTATAGACTTGTTAACCTAAAAATAAACTGTGGCCAAATACACATAACAAGGAATTATTGAGCCAATGTGATGGCAACTGGGGAGACACATAGATCATGTGGCCCTGAAAAGTGTGTTCCAAAGAGGGCCAGCAGAGCTCAACATTTTCTAATCACAAGGGGGAGAAATCAAAAGAGAGTAGAAAGACAGCCCTCCTAATCTTTCTGGCTTTCTGACACCATTATGGCTGCTTCTAAGTAAAATGGTCTTATGATAACGATTCTCAGAACAGGAGGATGTGACTGCTGGCTGATCCCAGATCCCCCAAAGCACTATAATTAGCTGACCTGGTCAAAGCAGATTTTTTGTTATCAAACTAGAGAAATAGCCCGTGGAGGGAGCAGAGGGTAGTGCTTCCTGGAGAGATGTAGGTCTGAAATTAGTCAATTCTGCCAGTTTTTATACTTTATAACCTGGTTTCCAGTCCTAATTTGTTGTGTGCACTCTAGCCAGTTATATCTGTAACTCCTTTTCTTTCTCTATTAGATTGGTTCTAACCCCTTTTGAATATGTATATCCTGCAATACAGTTTAGGCAGCCAAATGTTATCCCCACTTTGTAGATATGGAAGTTGAGGATTGGCTAAGATTAGATGGCTAATCAGTAGCAAAACTGATACTGAAAACCACCCCCCTACGCCTTCCAGCCACTCTGAGGTAAACATTTAACTTTATAATTATTTTTAAGCTACATGCTCTACTTCCTTATATTTCATTCTCCCTAAACATTTATAATCTCATATACTCTTCCAAACCTTTAAAATCACAAATAACACTAATCTATAGAAAAAGTAATCTAACATTAATGCATTCCAAAACATTATAAAATTTAATAAAAATCAATGAAACAAGCTAAAGCAGAGATATGTTCTACTGGGAAAAGGCACGGGACTTAAAATCAAAAGACTTAACTCAAATTTACTTTCTTCAATTTAGGGGTTATATGACATCAATCAAGTTACGTAATTTCTCTGGATCTTAGTTTCTTCATCTTTTAAATGGAAATAAGGATACGTGTGTAAATATTACTGCCTAGCACACAGCAGATACTCCACCAAAATTAGTTCTTCCCCTCTCTACTTATTGTCACTGGGGGTATGGAAAATTTAATTGAATCAGAAACCATCATGGTGCTGTGCAAGTGCTTAATAACTATTGAATGGAAATCTGAACCAGAGGTAAAGATCAAAAATGATTTGTTTCAAATCTCTGTAGCATGACACTACTGTGAGTGGTCTACAGATGGCGCTAGATGTTTACAACGGAATCCTTCCTCCCTATGCTGCTTGCCACATAATGGAATTACACCTCGAGAAGGGGTAAGTGCTTTCAAAATCAGTATTATTGGACCCCAGGTTTTTAAATTATTATTGTATTGTTGGCTTACGGGTTGTTGTGTCTATTTGGTTTGGTTCTATATTCAGAGGGAAGAATGGTGGCGAGTAATAATATCTTTGCTAGTCATGGCTCTTTGTTTTCATGAAAATTTTTATTGGGAAATAATATACATACACAGTAGATGAAAAATTTGAGAGAACTACCGTAAGTGGCACAAATTACATTTTTTTAAAAAAATTAAGATATTCTAAGAAGTATGCAGACATTACATTGTTCTCTTGGAAAACAGGCTGATAGAAGACCCCAATGCAAATTTAGTTTCTTGATGACTAAACAATAATACTCTCTCTCAATAAAAGACTTAAACATATCCATGCAGCTTCTGGTGATTTATGTCCACCAGTCAAGATTCTTAAAGTACAGCTCTTGACTACTGTCTACTTCTTTGTGACCTCGCATGGCCCTCCCCTGCTGATCAAAGCTCAGCTTGAACCTACTAGAAAGGTCAAAGTTAGAGTAGCGAATGTCTCAGTTTACCCAGAACCGAGGAGTGGGTGGTCTTCAGAACATGTGAGTTTCATTGTTAAAATCGAGAAAGTCCTGGGCAAACTGGGAAGAGCTGGTTACCATTGCCAAAGTCATACCAAAAATTTGTACCTGCTGTGACAATGTTGTTCTCATTGGACGGAGAAGGGGGAGGTGTTTTTTGGGAAGTCAGTAGACCTCATGGGATATTATTGGTGGGATAAGAACAAGGAAGGGGCTGAGTTAAGGCAGTGACCCCAGAGTTTTACTTCAGGGTTGGTTGGAAAGATATATTTTGCCCTCTCCTCAAGGCATTTATAATAGCTATAGGCAGGACCAGCCTGACTGTAGTTACATAGGGCTCTGTGCTCAGAAGAGTCTGTGCTTGTTTTAGTGATCTGCTTTTGCCATCTTGAAATTCTAAATAATTTTTAAATGAGGAGCCCTGTATTTCATTTTGCAAGTTTTGTAATCTTGGATATAGATCTCTGTACCCTTGAATTTGTAGAGTAGGAAAGTAACAGCACAGAGACCTCATTCTCAACCAGTATCTTTACTGCTTACAAAGAAAGTGAGTCTTGTACAGTTAGGGAGGGTAGATGGATTCTTTATTGAACCTCTAACAGGCATCAGGCATAACAAAGTAGAACTAAAATGTCTTAGCTAACCTTGCTCTCAAATATCCAGAATCAGAGTAGAGAGACAAGACCCTTTGTTTGGAGACCAGCCAAACCAAACAGTTAATGGGAATGAAAGGACCAAATGGGAATGAAAGGACCGAAGGCATAAAATGCACTTTCACTAAGAAGCCCTGCCCAGATCTGCCCTTTTGAAGTCCAGCTCTAGGCAGAGTTAATAAATCCACCCAAAATTCTAGGATTGGTTCGAGGAGCAGGCCTCTTCTCTTCAGGGATAAGACAAGAGAAGCTACTGATTCACTTGAAGTTCCCTCCTCTCCAGTTTCTGCATGCTGGTGGTCCTGAGCTTGCTTTATTAAGACACTGCAGCATTTACTCCCACTCAATCACTTTCTCTACCATCTTGAGTAAATGCATATTATGAATCAAGTGTGGGGTATTTTTCAACCGAGAGACATTGACATACAGGAAAAAAAATTAACCAAGGGCCATACACAGATCGAGTTAAGTTTAGTATTACATTAGGATTTTTTAATTGGCACACCAGAGAAACATCAAAGGTTAAACTTGATTGCTTTTAAACTATAACAAGGAGGATCCAAGTTAACAAATACTGTATGTGTCTGCTTAATATGTGATCTTGACTCTAAAGTGACCCACATTTTCCCTATGAGAAGATAAGGAGAGAGATAAAAAGGGAAAATGTTTTAGATTTTCAGCCATCATAATACATAAACTGTTAAGAATATAGATAAGGTAGCTAAATATATATTTAAAAGATTTAATTTTTAGTTGGGTACATATATTTAAAATCATAGACTATATAAAACAATTAAGTTAAAAATATTGCTTTTTTTCATTTTTACATTTTATGAAACAATTTGGTTTAAACTCCTTATATGCCTCTTTAACTTGTGTCTTCACCACAGCCAATTTTGAGTCCCTAAAACTGTTTTCCAGGTATATTAACTAATGGTAATATTGGCTTCTGTACAGATGAACCCCAAATTCTCCTCTTTACCCAGTGGAAATTAATTTCTCACATAACTAACAGTCCGATGCAGGTGTTCCTGGTCAATGGGAGGTGACTACCTATGGTGTGATTCACACATGGTGAGTCAGGCACCAAGGGTTCCTCTTTGGGACTTAATATTTCAGGAGTGCTGTGCTCACCTGCAGGTAGCTTGTAGAAAGGAATGAGAGGGTGAAGAAGCCAACTTGCTTAACCATCTCAGCCCAAAAGGTGCACATATCATTTCTGGTCACATCGTCCTGGCTAAATTAGTCACTTGGTCCCTCTCAGTGCAAGGGAGTCTGGGAAATATAGTCACTTCTGAACCATAATTCTATTCTATGGAAAGAGAATCACGAATTGTGATGGACTATTGGTCGTCTAGTTCATATCACCTGGAGATAAAAGATGCTACCCCCGGAAAAGTTATCTATTCATATCATATTAGGGAGGTTTTTAAAAACATATCCTATAAGCAAATATTTGTAGTTATTATGTTTATATTTCTTTTTAAAGTGATATTTTAAAGGGCTTGCTTATAACAACATCCAAAATTTGTAATTGTGAGGTTATTACCCCAAGAAGGATCACTCAATTCTAACTTGAATTCTTCACCTGCCTCTTTGATTGGAAAATGACTTCCATAAGCAACTCATACTAGTTTTTACTGAGGCTGTTTAGGCCATTGGACCTTCCTCAAATAGTACTTTTATGTTTTATGAAATGAAGTATTGAAAGGTCCCTCCTTTATGTGACACAACGTAAGGACTTGAATATACATCCACCCCCACTTTCTGAGGTATACTTTTTTTTATAAAGTCTTGCCGCATATTCAAGCAAATGGGTTATATACTCATATTCAGTTCAATGTTTAAAGCCCATTTAAGGAGAGCACAGATACATTCAGAGGGAGGACTGAGAGAAATATTGAGAGAGGAAAAGATAAGGAAGGAGCAAACAAGAAGCATGAAAAGAAGAAACCAGGAGAAGAAAAAGCCAAAACTCCCATCTGGCCCCCACTTCTTATTCAAAGGCTCATCAAAGTCACACCCAACTGCCCCCAACTATCACCTCTCAGCTCCTTTTCTGATTGAGCATCCTGGTCCCCATCTCCTATGCCCCTGTTCTTCTAACAGATCCACTCTCCAAATCTGTCCTGGCTGCCCCAGTGTCCCCATTCCCACACCAAATAGACTGAAATATCCTCATGCCCATAAGTTCTTCCAACAGCGTCTCAACTGACTTGTTACAGTCGAGCTGCAGGGGAATTCAGTGACAGTTCAACAACACAGAACTCACAGAGCTCTGTCCTCTGCCCTTCCCCACCAGGGAGTACTTCGTGGAGATGTACTATCGGAATGAGACACAGCACGAGCCCTACCCCCTCACACTACCGGGCTGCACTCCCAGCTGTCCTCTGGAGAAGTTTGCTGAGCTGGTTGCCCCTGTGATCCCCCAAGACTGGTCCATGGAATGTATGGTCACAAGCAACCACCAAGGTACTGAGGAAGTTATGCAGTAGTATGTACACAGAGCCCTGCACAAAGAGCAGAACACCCTTTCCCAGGACACGTGGTGCTTTGAGAATGTACTTTGGCCATGATCCCCAGCTTTGAGGGAAATGGGTTTTGGATAATACTTGTATGTTATGCTTCAGGGACCCCTAACTTCAGGCAACTCCTACCTCTCCACCTGGCCCCAACCCATTTGTCATAAACCTTAACTCAGTTGTTGTTGTTGTTGTTGTGGCTGTTGTTGTTTAGTGGTAATACAAAAGGACATCAGTGCCAAAACGTAATCATGGATAAAACTTAGATCAAAGTTCATGAGGCCACCATGAACTATATGATTGGCCACACAGGTTCTTTTCTTATTTAAAGACTCCCAGATTTTGCTTGAGCAGGATTAGTTGAGGCTGTTCTTTAAATGTGTGAAGTGGAACAGATTTCAAACAAAACCCGCAATCTCGGGTAGGAGTAAGGAAGGGAAGTCTTTAATCCTAGGCTGATAGGCAAAGGACGACCATACTCATCAGCTCCAGCCTTCTCTCAAGGAGAGGCACAGAAATGAGATATAGTGGAGACATCTGGAGAAGTTTTCTACACTGGGAACCTGGGACTATCTGTTTTTATATTTATGTTAAAACATACTGGGTGGATGCTGGAAGCCCCAGGTCTCCCCTGTGGGAATGAGGGGGGTGTCACAGGCCTCAGTCCTGCCCCTCCTCCTTCCACCTTTTTCCATCTCTTTTCCTTCCCCTTTCCCCCTCTCTCCCTCCCTCCCAACTGCTCCACAACATCCTAGAATGTAAAAGATAATATTAATAAAATTACATTTTCTAAAAAAAAGAACATACTGGGTGGCAGAGCTAAAAAATAAAAGCCTCTTTGTGTCCTTTGACCCTGAAATGTTCATGTTCATTTTGAAGAAACTAAAGTCAACTTTCCAGAAAGCTTTGATATATGTAATATATACAGCAGTTCTTGAAGTATGTACACCATAGAAAGTAAATAATCTGATGAGAGCAAGATATCTGGGCACAACACGTCAGAGATGAGAGCACTGCATGGTAGAGTTTCTCTTGAAGCTCTGATGGTAGGAGATGTTAAATCTAAAGTTGACTTAGAGAAAGTGTGATGACACCTACCAAACTAGAACAAAACTAGAAATGTATGAATGTTCTACGTGCCTCCAAGTTCAAAACTTACTGGAATGTTTAGAGTGTGGTTGTGAAATCTTTTCAGAGGACAAAAGGAATATGTAAGACTTTGATTCTGGTATCTTCAGAAAACCTGAGCAAACCCACAAGTCCTACTGAAACTGTCCACTGTACAAGAAGAAATCATATTCAAATGACACTTTTTAAAGTCTTGTAGATCTGCCACGTGGCAGGTGCAACACGTCTAGAGAACACCGTGCTATGTTATATGTTACCATTACAGATAATGATGAGATGGTTTCTACTCAATGCCAGACTCTAGAGCAGAACCACCCCCCTTCTGACTGGTCACACAATGACTGACACAGACATCGATTGATATGCTTCTTTGTGTTCTTTCTTTCCCAAGTAAATATTTGCCCTTGGGGCCATCGTGTATGCTTGTAACTTTTTTCTAGCAGTGAGTCAAATGTAAAATAGTGAATAAAGTCATTATTAGGAAGTTCAAAAGCATTACTTTCATAATGAACTTTGAAAAGTGTGTGTGTGTTTCATTAGAATAAAATTGCTGCAGGCAGATTTCAGGGGCTCTCTTTTTGTTTGGGGGCTTTGTTTTAATTCAACAGGAGGGAAAATATTAATATAACGTAAAATGTCTTTACTTGCTTAAATGAACATTTTACATTGAAAATATTGTTTGGACTTTACTACTACAGAAAAAGGCTAAGATGTCGGAAGCTCTGCCCCATCTATTTAAGATGGAACTTGCTAAGAAAACGCCCTCAGGAAGTTCACAATGTGGTAGGGAAGTAAAGAGGTACATGTTACACAGAATAATAAGAGTTATGTCTATGAATACACAGGTTGCCATGGGAACAAGAGTTACCCAGATTTGGAGGGTGAGAGGAAGTAAGGGAGGTCAGGGAAGGCTTTCTGCAGGAGGTAACAACTGCACTGTGTGCAGTTTGGGTGGAGGTTTATAATGGTGTGGTACAAAGTACCATAAAGGCATTTATCAAATGTCCTGGTGGCTTGAAGCTGGACAGGACAGGGGAGTTATTCAGCAGAAGGATCCAAAGAGATTCCCACAGGTTTCATTCAAAGGGCCCTTTCTAATAACATAAAATATAATCTCTGCAAGGGCAAGGATTTTATCTGTTGCGTTCTCTGCTCTCTCTGTCCTCAGTACCTAGAAGTGCCTGTGCCAGGCATGAATTGGTGCTCAGTAAATATTTGCTCAATTAATACATAGATTAGTTACCTTTCCTCCCTGAACCTACTCTTCTCTATCCTGGTTAACAGCAATACCCAGTAATCTGGGCTCCTTTTTTACCTCGCCCTCTCCTTCATTCCCCAGAGTCAGTCTTTCACCTCTTCTTGTCAAATCTACCTGTAATATGCTTGAAGAATTGTTTTCTCCAAAATGCCAATGTCAAGAATTCCATACCCGAAGACAGTAAACTATGATTTAGTAGCAAAACACATTAATAAAAAGAAAATATAAGGGTGGATGTAGCCTGCTCATACACATCTCAAGAGTGGAATGTGCCCGGCTCTTGCCAGCTCTGAATACAGCAACCTCATTTTGGCAGCTTGAAGTTGGTCATGGAGGGAGTGTTTTCACCACAGAAATAAGCCAGTGCTACAAATCAGAACCTTTTTTTTTTTTGATCCAGTTTACCAACACATGCCTGGTTTTAGCTCATAGAAACCTTGTTAGGAGGTTGGCCTCCAACAAAGTGAGTTTAATATTTGAACTTCTGTAAGGAAAAATGATTAGATTTATTTAATACTGTCTTGAAGAGTGATGCTAGGAACAGCAGGCAGAATTTTCAGGAAGATTGTCATTCAATGTTGGCAAGTTCCTGAAACAGGAAGTGTTCATTTCCTGGGTGACCACTTACCGCAGAGCAGACTGAAGCATTGAAGGTTGTAGGGGTCAGATGATTTGGTTAGGGTCACCAAATTTAGCCAATAAAAGTACATCTCAGATAAATTTGACAAATAGCTCTAACTGCTGAATTTTTGTAATTTATTGAAAAAAGCAGAATACGGGACATTTAGGGTGTTCTGAAAAAGTCAACAGAGGAAGTAGGACAAAATCATTAAGTATAGAATATATCTTGTATATACAAGATGCCTGGCAACCCTACTGCTTACGTATTTCTATCCATGAAATTCTACCCATAACTACAAGCAGTGTTTTCATCTAGTGCTAGTAGACCCAGTTAACCAGGTCATATCAATTAAATAAACCAGAGTCTTTGCTGGAAAAAATAATAAATCTAAGTTCTATATCATGTTACTTGGAAATAATAAAATTCTTTTTAAAAAAATGCTTCTTTAATCCCAGACTTTTACTAACACAGTCAGACTTTCTTCACTAGTACTCTCCCACCCCCCTACTCAATGTCCAATTCCAGTTATTTCACAGGAGGGAGATTTACTAGTGGGAAGTTCCAGTTTCCTCTCGTTATGTTTGTAAGCTGAGAATCTACAGTACATATACTCATGCCTGAGATTCAACAATGCACTTCTTTAAGGGCAGGATCCATAGCTATTTCCTCTTTGACTCTTCAGCCAGTAGAGATGATGCCTAGAACTTGGTGCCTTCAATTAGTATTTGCTAATTGACTAAATGCTCAGCCCTCTATACCTATCTTGACTTCCTCATGGCTGGGCTGTGATATTAGAAGCCTGGAACTCACTTGGTCAATAAATAAGAAAGAGAAGCTATGAATGAGCCTAAAAGGTGACTGCACTATAAAGACCCAATCATTGGCCATATGTACATATGTATATGCCAGCATGTCTGTGTTATTTGACCTCTGTTTTTGGCATAGTCATTTTGGCATTCTCTTGTTCTGCCACTGCTGTCAAGAGCCCCTGTTCAGTGACATACCTTCATAATACCTTTTCTCATTATCTTCAGTTTCTCAGGACATAGCTGATCACTCATTGAAGATGCTGGGAACTTGCTTTGGTATACATCAATTCGCTTCTCACTCCCACTGCTGCCCTCAACCTAGGTGATTCTGACAGTCACAATGATGACCCATCCTGTACCCTGCCTACCATACCAATATCCAACCCTAGATCAGATCGATCACAAGGCTTTTCCATTCTGATCTGCTGAGTAGAGCTGAAGAAAATAAAATCTGAGTCTACTGTCACCACCGCAATCTATGAATGTTGAAATTTCTATTCCAACCTCAGCTGGTCTTTCATCACTTCCTGTATATGTATTTACCTTTATTGGACTCTTCCTACTCTCCATAGGAGGGTGTTTTTATTTTTCCCAAATTTCTAATTCCAACTTGTCTTCTTTATTCTTATAAGCAAGATAATCTACTGGTAACTGTTTTAGGTTCTCCTTTCACTACCTCAAACTATCTCAGTCGCTTTAACCTGTTGCTGCTGTTCCTCAGGAAAATATGTTCCTCCCTGAGTAGACAGTCTTCTCGCTGTGCACATGATCCTGTTCGTACAGTGTTCTCAGGACCTTGATGAATCTCTTAGTTAGAAAATGTCCAAATATCCTCTCATCAAAACACCCTCAAGTACTTGTTCCATGTCACTCTCTTCAATCCTAATTTTCTTGAACTAATAATTTACTTGCTCTACCTCTATTCCTTCATCTCCTTCTTACTTTTTAACTATTCTGTAAAATTTTGCCCACCCTTCTCTCATCTCTTTTTTTTTTTTGAAACTTCCCTTTTAAAAGTCACCAGTGCCTAATTCAGTGACATCTTTTCCTTTCCTCATGAAGCAGGTATCAACATCCCCATTTTACGGAGAAGAAAACTGAAGCTCAGAGAATAACATGCCACAAGTAGTAGGATCAGGATTCAAACCTAACACTCTCCAACACCATATTTCTACTATATCATATTCCCTTTCCCTCTCAAGCTATCTTGGGTGCTATTCCCTTAGGGCAATTTTCCAAAATAGAATTGGTGGGTCAAGATATAGGAATATTTAATAAACAGTAGATATTCACTCAGTACCTATTATGTACTCTATATATGCCTATGTACCAGGCATTAAGTTTGCTGAGGAAACAGCTGCAGACAAGAAGATTGTCCCCATGTGGCTTGTAGACCTTGGGGGGGCAAGAAAGGGAAGACTAGCAAGGAGGACAGAGAGAGAAAAAATTAAGCAAGCCCTAACGATGAAGTGTGGCGAGTGCTATGATGAAGGACATACAGGTGACAATCAGAACACACAGCAGAGGCAATCAGTCTAAGTCTAAGGGGTCAGAGAATGGAGGTGAGGGGAGAAGAGAATGATAAAGACAAAGGAGAGAAGATGTGTAAAGGCCAAGTGGCAAAGACAGCATGGGGCACTGTTGGAACCCAGTCTGGTGAGTGTGTGGAGGGCCAAGGCTGGAGAGGCAGGCGCTAGTGCTTCGTAGGTCAAGTTGAGGAGTTCTGGTCATTGAAAGGTTTTAGGCAGAAAACAGTGCTATAACTTGCTTCTTGTTTTACGAAGATTCTTTGGCTTCAAGAGGGAGAATGGACGGGAAAGGGGGGAGCCTGAGGTCAGGGAGAACAGCAAGAGGCTGTTGCAATAATCCAAGGACTAGGATGAATGAAAGAGAAAAGCAGACTTATTCAAAGGGTGAAAAAAAGTAGGGAAAACAGGACTTGAGGATTAATGGCAAGAGGGAGAGACTTTTGTTACATATTGCCAAAATGGTTTTCAAAAAAGGAATACCAATTCCCACTGCCTTCTGCAGCTTTTGTGTGTTTCCTTGTAGTAGGACGTCTTTTCAGTCATTACCTGCACTAGACCTTTTTGCAGTAAGATACAGCTGATCACTCTTTCTTTTCTTAGCTACTGGTACATTACTATGCCAAACTCCTGAAATCTTTTACAGTACAAGGAAGCATATAATTTAAAAATAAATAAATAAACATCACAGAGAGAGGCAGGGAGAGCTCTCCCGAGTCTTTTCTTTGCTCTCGGGTTCTTTGGCCAGTTTCTATTTCATTAATATCTTCCACAAATCCCCTAAATGTTTCCTCATTCCACACTCACCATGAGCCAATATACCTCGGCCCCTGTCTTCTACATCTACATCTTTATTTCTATATGTAAGTGCAGAATTCTAGACCTGTTTTCTCCAGCTACTTACTGATCATCTCTATCAGGATAATAACCCATCTCAATCCCACATAGCAAGTAAAATCCCTCATCTCGTCAATCCTAAACCCATCCATTTTTGTGATCCCAATCTCAATCCACAGCCTAATCATCATCTTAGCCACCAAAGCAGGAATGCATGGGCGTGCTTGACCACAACTTTTCCTTTACCAGCATATTTGGTCTGTCACCGAAGCCTGTCCATCCTACTACAGGAGTATCTCTTGAATTCCCTCATCTATATTCCCTAGGACACAACTCCAGTTCTGAGCCCTCAGTATCTTATCAAAGGTATTTCAATAGCTCCCTACCAGGCCTCCTATATCTACGCTATTCTATCTTTTCCATGGTTATTTTTTTAAAAAAAAAAAAAACACAGATTGGACCATGTTGCTTCCACATGTGATAATTGCTGATGACTTCCATTTACTCCATGGCAAACCAGACTCTAAAAACTGGGCCCTGATCTACACACCCAGTTTCACTTCCCTGAAGCCTATGCTCCAGCCAGACGTAACTGCTCATTATTTTCCAAGCATACTCTTGTGCATGGTAAAATCCCACGTGCCTTGCAGGCCAGCTCAAATCTCAGAAGACTTTCCAAACTCTTTCTCTTCCAAACAGAATACATTCTGTTGATGGCAACTTTCTGTCTGCTCCGGTGGCATATCTTCTACAGCTCCATTTCAGTATTTATCACATTTCTCATAATCGTCTATCTGGTTCTCCCACTAGACACTGAACATATTAAGGGCAGAGATTATGGAAATTTAGCACTCAGCAAGCCCCGCCTGGCACATGACATGTGCTCACTGCATGTCTTGGAAGGAAAGAAGGAAGGATAAAGGGTAGAAAAGCATATTCCATGGGACTTTTGTGCTGACATAGCCAACAAAAATAACAGAAAATAAATTTTTAAATACAGAAAGTCAGCCACAAAAATAGATTTTTAAGAATCATCAATATCTGGGCCGGCCCGGTGGCGCACTGGATAGTGCGCCACTTGGGAAGCGCGGTGGCGCTCCCGTCCGAGGGTTTGGATCCCACATACGGACCGGTTCCCGCTCACTGGCTGAGCGGGGCACGGGAGCAACACTGAGGGTTGCGATCCGTTGCCGGACACGGAAAAAGACAAAAGACAAAAAAAAAAAAAAAAAAAAAGAATCATCAATATCTGCCTTCCTCCCTCACCATTAAGTCCTTTCCTTCTTCAATTCTTTACAGTTCCTTCCAACTTTATATTAACTCCAAATGCAGTTCTAACAACACTGTCCATCAGGGGCTAACTTTATTAATATTCATGTCCTCATGATGCTAAGAAGCATCCTGGCATCATGAGAAAAACACTAGACTAAGAGTTGGTAATCTATGAGTTCTAAGTCACTAATTTCTTCTACAAATATTTATTAGCACCTGCTATGTGCCAGGTACTATGCAAAGTACTTGAGATACATTCATGAACAAAAAAGACAAAGGTTTCTGTCTTCATGAAGCTTATATTCTATCAGAGGGAAAGAGGAGCAGATAATAAGTAATAAACATAATAAATAAGTACTTTGAAAGATGAGGATCACAAGGGCCAAGTTGGGGTAGAAGTGGGGGAAGGTGTACAAGTTGCACTTCCAAATGGGGAGGCCTCATTGAAAAGTCACCTTTTCAGCAAAGAAAGTAAGGGAGTGTGGGAAGAGCATTCAGGCAATAGTAACAGCTGTAGCGAAGGCACTAAGGCAAGTGTGCTTGGCACATGTGAAGGAAAGCAAGAAGGACTGTGTGGCCAGAAAGGAGTGAATGAAGGGAGAATGGTAGGAGAAGAAACCCGAGGGGTCAGGAGCGGCCAGTTGATGTAGAGCCTCATAAACTGTCATCATCAGGACTTCAGTTTTATTCTGATTGACATGATAATCCATTGCAGAGAGTATTAAGCAGAGAATTGGCATGATTTGACTTGAAGTTGTTTGCTTTGTTGAAAGCAGATTTTAAAGGAGAAAGGATAGAAGCTAGAGAACAAGTCAGGAAGCTGTTGTAGTGATCCTGGCAAAAGATGATGGAGATTCAAAGCAGGGCGGTGGCAGAGCAGGGGAGAACTCACTGGCTTCTGAGTATGTTTTTTGGCAGAACCTACAGGATTTCCTGACAGATAGGGTGTAGAATGTGGGAGAAATAAAGGAGTCAAGGCAGACTTCAAGACTTTTGTCCTCAGCCAACAGAAGAAGGCAATTTCCATCAGCTGAGATGGGAAGGCTGTGGGAAGAGCAGATTTGGTGTGGGGAAGGAGGGTGCAGAAATTGAAATGTCTATTCGATGTTTAAGGAAATATGTCAAGTACACAGTTGGATATGAGTCTTAAGCTTCAGAGAGAGATCAGGGCTGGAGATTTCAATTTGGAAGCCATTAGTAAATAGATGTTTTTTAAAATAATGAGACTAATAAGACCCCATGTACTCTAAATGCAATTATCTGCTTAACCTTAACCAAATTATCTAATCTCTCTGCTTCTTATTTTCCTCATCTCTACAGTGATAACTCTCTACAGGCTAACTCAGCAATTTTCACCTGTGTTCCATGGAGCACTGGAGTTCTGTAGGAAGAGCTGATGTTTGCTCTCCCATTGCCTAAGCCAACAACCACCCCATATTTTTACAATGAAATGGCGTACACTTAGAGATGGTACAAGCTGGTATTTGTAATGTGTATGCTATAGTGGACTAGGGTGTGTGTGTGTGGAAGAGAGTAACTTTCCAGGTGAAATAATTATTTAGTACCTCATTAAAAAATGACCTCAGATATCTGCTTCATGACTAGTCAGCTGTCAAAGGAGTATGTGTAAATAAAGGTGCAGATTAGCAATAGCACACAGCTATGCTAAAAATGCTTGCCATAGTCAGCAAGTGCCCAACGTTTCCTCTCTAAAACATATTTGCCTGAAAATCAAATTCCAAAATTGAAAGATTCCATTTCTTTTAGATCCAATCGATTGCAGTTGAGTATTGAGAATTTTCTTTGACCCTGTGACAATGAACAATTGGTAATTTAACTGCAGAAAAATGCGTAAAGTGAGTGCTGTAAGAGGACCCTAGAAATACTTCAGTCAGTTACCCTCCCTTCACAGTGTGTAGGGGAGGCTCAGAGGTCAATGGTCATGATGGAAATGTAACCTAGGTTATCTCCTGACTCCTAGTCCCATGCTTTTTTCACTACCATATGCTGATTTCAAGGCTGCTCCAGAAACTCCTCTGAAATTTACAACTAAGGCAGAAGTCAACACTGATGAGTGATCTTCACATTTTACTAATGCGTTAATTTTACATTAATGCTTCTCCTGTTTCCCCACAGTTCTAAGGGTCGTCCTTGCCATTGCCTTCTGCCTGGTATCTGGCGTCCTAGTGGTGTTGCTGTTTGTCTTCATCCGCCATGGGCCCTGCTGGCAGAGAGACCCCTATCGAAACATCTGAACAGAGGCTGAACAAGAGCAGAAAAGCTGGGCCAACTTCCTGTCTTGGCATCTCTCAGTGATGCAGCATTCGAAGAACAGGCTTCTGCCATGTGGGCATCACCCTGCCTACACTCTTCTTCCTGAACCTGTGTAGAGCAGAGTCTGAACTCACAGTGACCCAGGGATGGCTGCTGGACTGATAGATGATTAAACACCCAGGTTACTTAGTTAGGTCTTCTCATCATTGAGCAGTAGTACAGGCTGCTCATTTGGCTAGAAAGAGGCTCCTCTGCAGAAGATAGTTGTATTCTTTAACACAGATGTCTGGAGAGAAATAAGCCACATTCCGATCAGTCTTCTGCCTGCAAAGAGCAAAGGGACAAAGACATAAACAAGAAGTGGTATTGTACAGAATGATTCTTAGGAAATAAGACCAAATCAGAAATTATAAATAAACTTTTTCTTTAGCTATTAAGAAAGTTTAACACACACACACACACACACAATCCCCTGAAAAGAAATTCTTACCCAGTGTTCGATAGCTAATAGACTTCTGTGTATGTGTCTGTATATTAACACACATGCATACACATAAAGTGCCTTTGGAAGAGGTATTTAATTCTCAGAAACTGCAGTACCAACCACTTTAGGTACAGCTCAGGTTCTTTTCCCACCATTTTCATAGTGGGGAATAATTGGAAAATAAAGGTAGCCATGGTTCTTTTTTTTACATCCACCACCAGAGATGAATATTTATACTGTTTCAATTTCTTATTTCATTTTAAAATTATGAGATCTTACTTTGATAAGGGATATTCATGACCATAATGAGATGATAATGTATTTTAATTGCCACAAATAGGTCTGAATTTTACAAGTGGTGAGGTAGAAAGAAAAGTGGACTGAGTATTGATGACCCACTGCCTCATCTCTACACTGGCTTTGGGTCAATGACTTGGAACAATTTTTTTTATATCTTAAAACTTGGTTTCCTAATTTAAAAATGAAGAAGCTGTACTAGATGAATGTAGAAGTCATGTCTAGTTCTCAGGTTCTGTGAACAATTTTTTTTTCATTTTATTGCTATGGATGGGTCATTGCCCATCCACTTTCGTGGATGGCACCATTGTAGTAAGCCAAAATTTACTCTAAAAAATTTTATTCTGCTCTGAGCCCCCAATTATCCAGTTGTTGGGAAATTCAATCTCATTCATCGGTAGAGTCCTTCATCTCCTCAGGTTCTACTAAAGGTCCCAGAGTGTACCTCTGGGAGGAGTCAGAGAAGACTCCTAGGTGTCTGTCTACACTGGTCTCTGATAAGTTCTCTGTTCATTCTCACATGGTCTTGTGAAGGTAGGCAGAGGACATTGTGTCACGGCTTCCAAGACCAAACTCTTGGAGTTCGCCAGTTTGGGATTGTGCAGTCCCCTACCTGTGGTGACACCTGCAAGCAGTGTGGGGATCTTTGCCCAGTACAACCCACTCCCACCCCACCCCATCTCTTACTCTCAGGAATCTTCCTGTTTCGTTGGATCCTGCAGCTTCCACCATTAAACTCCCAGCACTTACCTCTATCACCCTTACTTTCTACATAAATTCTCACCGAACCAAGCCTACTGCAAATAAAAGACTGAGAAGGACTTATCTTCTCTTGCTGGGCAACTTCTGCCACCTGGAGGGGCAGGGGGGAGGCAAGATCTGGCTACATTCTTGGCTTGAGAAAGAGAAAAACATCTTTAGCACAAGAACAGAGGACAAATTACTGTCCAGATAAAGTAGCCAGCCATATCAGTATTTAAGCCACAATATTTTGTACTAATAAGTGAGGAGACTTTAAAATAGAAGTATAAACAGAACCACAAGTCATGCCTTTTTTCACTCATTCAATGAACATTGATAGAAGACCTACTATTTGCTGGTCACTGACCTAGATGCTACATTGTCCATCCCTAATGTGATTATTAAGGTATGAGGATCTCATGCAGGGTTGATGGAATTAAAAAGTAAAAGCTCTCACATTTTTCCCATATCATCTTTTAATACTGTCTGTGAATAAAAAGACCTCTACTTTCTCTTTGTTCTGAGGGACTTTTTTTTTTTTTTTTGTGACCGGTAAGGGGATCGCAACCCTTGGCTTGGTGTCGCCCACACCACGCTCAGCCAGTGAGCGCACCAGCCATCCCTATATAGGATCTGAACCCGCGGCCGGAGCGCCAGTGCGCTTCCGGTGCGGCACTCTCCCGAGTGAGCCACGGGGTCGGCCCCTGAGGGACCTTTTAACATCCCCCACTTCTTTTCCTTCTACTATCTCTTCTGATTATTGTAATGAAAGCATTCAGCCCCAACTGAGTTGTTTCCTCCACCTGTTACCTATCTACAGATAAATACTGTAATTGTTTTTCATACTTCATGACTGAATAAAAAATCACTAGTGACAAATGATCCAAACTGATAAAGCAGAGAGCACAAATGTACTGTAATGTTTCCAGGAAATAAGCTAATCATTCACCTTCAACAAGAGAGGATGCAAATCCTCTTACTGATAAAAGTGATTTTTTCAGATGCGTCAGAGATGATCAGTCCAGTTGCCATGATGACAAATACTGTTTGAAAGACCATTGCTAGAGCAATGTCTGAAATATGCTCTGATATGAATTCCTCCTTACACTTGAACCACTACAGAGGCCTTTGAACAGGATTAGAATAAGGCAATAATTAACACATCAATGGAGGGTCATTCCCTAACATAAAAAATATCAACCAATATATATGCAAGAAAGTACTAAAGAAGAGTTGTAGGCGGGATATCCCTACCTAGAATGTCATCGCATAAAGAAAGTATTAAAAGAATAGGATTATAAAAAGAATAATTTGTGGCTTTAGAAGAATACAAGAATGAGAGGCAAATATTTTACTAGAAGCCATTCAACCAACAAACCTTTTTATACTAGAACTGGCATTTCGTCTCCTTGAACTCAGTCATGTTCCCTATTCTCCCAACTTCCTGTTCTCTTTCTGCCTTGTTCTAGTATTGTTAGCATTGATTCTTTCGTCATAGCCAGGGAGGTAACTTGGTAAGTGTTATTGTTTTCTCTTTAAAAACTCTCCTTACAAAAATCCCATTTGAGCAATAGTGAATGTGAGTGGCAGTTTAGTGCTTTAGACCAGGACTATCCAATAGAAATAGAATGCAAGCGACAAATGAAAGCCACGTATGTGATTTTAAATTTTTTAATAGCCACATTTAAAAAGGTAAAAATTAAAAGATGAAATTAATTTTAATAATAACATCTATTTAACCCAATGCATCTGAAATATAACTTCAATGTATAATTAATATTTTAAAATTGTTAATAAGATATTTTATGGGTTTTTGAAATCCTATGTGCATTTTACCCTTCTGGCACATCTCAGTTCAGTCTAGCCACATTTCAAGTCTCAACAGCCAGGTGTGGCTAGTAGCTACCATGTTGAACAGTTCTGCTTTAGACCGTTAGATGACAATCTTTTTGAAGCAGAGAGACTGTATTTGTTATCATTTGTAAAATCCACTTTCGGACTATTGTAAAGAAATAAAAATGTCTTTATTACATGTCTGCATTTTACTATTTTTGTGTGCAGCTGAACTGATGAAAGATTTTTCTGAAATGTTTTATTTGTAAATCTGTCTTAAGAGTATGAGCCCAGACCTTTTCCAACGCTATCCAAAACAGACTTGTTCCTCTACTTATTAAATGTCTTTTTTAAATTTTATTTTATTTTATTTTATTATTTTTATAAAAATTTTCTTTAATTATTATTGGTTATACATATTTATGGGGTACACAGTTGACTGTCAGTATCTGTGTGCACTATGCGATGATCAACTCAATGTTATTAGCATGTTCATCATTACAAATCGTAATTATTGTTTGTGTCCTTTCCCCAGTTACTTCCTCCTCTCCCTTCTTCTCCCCCATTTCCACCTCTGGTAACTATAGGTCTGTCCTCTTCTTCTGAAAGTTCAACCTTTCATTGTGGAAATGTCTTAAGAAGGAATTTGACAACATGCTTAGAATATAAGCATGGCGGTGGGGGATGCCTTTTAAAAATTTAATTAAAGTTTTGATTGTGAGTAATCTGTATCCAAAACACAAGTAAACTCTTCTGTATTGTTTTACAGAAGAGTATAAAATACAAGGCAAAAATGTTTTCCTACCCACTTTCAATCACCAGAACTAATCCTGTTGACAATATCTGGTCTTAGTTCTTCTAGTGAGTATCATTAATTTTGCAAAATATACTTATTTTCTCAAATTTTCACATCTTTCTCAGCTGCTATAACCCATGGTGTCCCCTTTCTTGTATCCCCAGTTTCATTTTCTTGAACTAACTTTTTTTAAATGATGAGCGAACAGTAAGCTTTCTGATTCTAACATGTTCACATGTGTCCACATTTGGCCCTCACACTTACCTATCAGTTAACAGGGTATAGTCAAGTTGAAAATAATTTTCTCCCAAAACTTTAAAGGCAGAATTCTGCTGTCTTCTAGTGTACAAGATTGCTGATGAGAAGTCTGATATCAGTCTGATTCTCACTCCAGTGTAAATAATCAGTTTTGTTTTGTTTTTCCTGACTCTTTCAATATATTCTCTTGAAGTTCCGAAATTTCACCAGGATATATTTTAGGCATGAGTATTTGTTTTTCTGTTTGTTTGTTTTTTGATTTTTTTGGCTTATCCTGTATGGCTTACGTGAGTCTTTTCAATCTAAAGACACTTGCCTTTCTTCAGCTCAGAGAAATTGTGTTCTGGGACTTGAATTTTCTGGGTCTACTCTCCATGCCTCAACTTTTCTCTTATATTTTCCACCTTTTTATTTTATTTATCTACATTCCAGGAAATTTCACTTTCCAGAGCACCAACTTGGTCTTCAGCAAATTCATAATACTTTTTTTTTTATTTCCAAGACCTCTTTCCTATTCAGTGTTTGTTCATTGTTAATAGAGGCCTCTTACTATTTTATTAATGCAATATCCTCTTGAGTGTCTTTAAGGATACTAAGAATTTTTTCAAGTTCTCCTTTGCTTCCTTAATTGTCTCTGTTTTCTCTGGGCTCAGTTCTTTGAATTTATTAATCTTAGACCTTCTCTTTCATGCTCTGGGTTTTTCTCATATTCTTGTGAATCATAATCCACAAATGAGGAGCTTCAAGGGTTAGTAAAGGTGATTGGTGTTAGTTTCTCTTTGTCATGTATGTCTCTTTCCCCAACAAAAGTCTTTTTTAATACCCTTTTTAAAATTCTCATGTGCTAGTTGCAGCATCTTTGTCATTTCAGGATCAGTTTTCATTGATTGTCTTTTGTCCTGAGTATGGGTTATGTTTTCTTGTTTCTTTTTATGTAGAGTAATTTTGGATTTTATCTTAGACATTGTAAATGATATGTGTGGACACTCTGAATTCTATTATGCCTCTCTGGAAAGTTTTTTTTTTTTTTAAGCAGTCTTTTAAATTGGC